GCGCCCGAGCGCTGCATTGGTAATCCCTGCATGCATGGCGGCAAGTGCCAGGACTTTGGCTCCGGCCTCAACTGCAGCTGTCCGGCGGACTATGCCGGCATCGGTTGCCAATACGAGTACGATGCCTGCGAGGAGCATGTGTGCCAGAACGGTGCCACCTGCTTGGACAATGGCGCCGGCTACAGCTGCCAGTGTCCGCCTGGCTTCACGGGCAAGAACTGCGAACTGGACATTGTGGACTGCAAGGATAACTCCTGTCCGCCTGGTGCGAGCTGCGTGGATCTGACCAATGGCTTCTACTGCCAGTGCCCGTTCAACATGACCGGCGACGATTGCCGCAAGTCCATCCAGGTGGACTACGATCTGTACTTCAGCGACGCATCGCGCTCCACCGCTGCCCAGGTGGTGCCATTCCCCACGGGCGAGGCGACTAGCTTGACCGTGGCCATGTGGGTGCAGTTTGCGCAGAAGGACGACACAGGCATCTTCTTTACCCTATACGGCGTGGACTCGGCTCGCATGACCCAGCGCCGTCGTCTGCTGCTGCAGGCTCACTCGAGCGGCGTTCAGGTCTCGCTTTTTGAGGATCTGCCCGATGTGTTCCTCAGCTTTGGCGAATACACCTCCGTGAACGACGGCCAGTGGCACCACGTGGCTGTTGTCTGGGATGGCCTCAGTGGTCAGCTGCAGCTGATCACAGAGGGCCTGATTGCCAGCAAGGTGGAGTATGGCAACGGTGGTACTCTGCCTGCCTACCTCTGGTCCGTGCTGGGTCGCCCGCAACCGGACAGCATTAAGCACGAGCGGGGCTACTCCGAAGCCGGCTTCCAAGGCACAGTGACCAAGGTGCAGATCTGGGCACGTGCTCTAGATATTACCTCTGAGATTCAGAAGCAAGTGCGCGACTGCCGTTCCGAGCCGGTGCTGTACTCTGGTCTCATACTGAACTGGGGCGGCTACGAGATGACCACGGGCGGTGTTGAGCGAAGCGTACCCTCCATGTGCGGCCAACGCAAGTGCCAAGTAGGCTACACGGGCGCCAATTGTCAACAGCTTGTTGTGGACAAGGAGCCGCCAGTTGTGGAGCACTGCCCAGGCGATTTGTGGGTCATTGCCAAGAATGGCTCCGCCGTGGTCACCTGGGACGAGCCACATTTTAGCGACAATATCGGAGTGACCAAGATCTATGAGCGCAACGGACACCGCTCGGGCACAACGCTGCTCTGGGGTACCTATGATATTACATACATTGCATCGGATGCTGCTGGCAATACGGCATCGTGCAGCTTCAAGGTTTCGTTACTGAGTAAGTTAATAATAAGCTCTTACATTAAATTATCATCTAATCTACTCATTCTTCATCCTAGCTGAATTCTGTCCACCTTTGGCCGATCCCGTTGGCGGCTCTCAGGTCTGTAAGGACTGGGGCGCAGGCGGTCAGTTTAAGGTCTGTGAGATTGCCTGTAATACCGGCTTGCGTTTCTCGGAGCCGGTGCCCGAGTTCTATACATGCGGTGCCGAGGGCTTCTGGCGTCCCACGCGCGAAGCATCCATGCCACTGGTCTATCCATCGTGTTCACCGGCTAAGCCCGCACAGCGTGTGTTCCGCATCAAAATGCTCTTCCCCTCGGATGTGCTCTGCAACAAGGCCGGCCAGGCGGTGCTGCGCCAAAAGGTGACCAGCTCCGTGAATGCTTTGAACAGAGACTGGAACTTCTGCTCGTACTCCATTGAGGGCACCAGGTAAAAGTGGACTAAGCGGACAAAAGAAAGAGTTTGTCTAATAAAATTTTTATTTGCAGAGAGTGCAAGGATATTCAAATCGATGTCAAGTGCGATCACTATCGTGCCGCCCAAAACAATCGTGTGCGTCGTCAGGTGAAGGATGGCGGTGTCTATGTGATGGAGGCCGAGCTGCCAGTTGTCAAGTAAGTAAATTCAGAACTGGGGGTCTTCGGTCTGGCATGATGATACTATGTCTTGATGTTTATATGTGTACTCTCTGTGTTATATGTATGTATATGAATATGTGTTCGTTAACCCCAATTTTTAGCGATGATGACGAGTTGGCGCTGACAGGTCGCCAGGGACGCCAACAAGCTGGCGGCGACACATACACGCTGGAAATAGCCTTCCCGGCTGTTAAGTATGTCAAGCATCCACATTCGTTTAACGATTCAAATTTGCACCCGATCTCCAGCATTCCGCACCTCAGTACTAGCAACTGTCAATCAGACTAATCCAAACATCCAATCAACCAAGCAACCAACTCAATCACAATGCAACTCTGTCTAATGCTTCAAGCTAACTTCACATGGGTTTTTTTGTTTTCTACGTGCTAACCTAACTGATAATATCTGATACTTAGGCTAACAATAGAACAATAATCTAATCTCACATTGTTCTTTTCCCACTCTAGCGATCCTGTAGTGCACACCTCGACGGGCGAGCGCTCCAGTGTGAAGCAATTGCTGGAGAAATTGATATTGGAGGATGATCAGTTTGCCGTTCAAGATATCCTGCCCAATACTGTGCCCGATCCAGCTTCGTTGGAGCTCGGCTCTGAGTACGCTTGTCCCGCCGGCCAGGTGGTGATGATACCCGACTGTGTGCCCTGCGCCATTGGCACGTTCTACGACAGCGCCAACAAGACGTGCATTCCGTGCGCTCGGGGCACCTATCAGTCCGAGGCGGGCCAGCAGCAGTGCAGCAAGTGCCCGACGATAGCGGGACGTCCGGGAGTTACAGCTGGTCCGGGAGCGCGCTCCGCCGCCGACTGCAAGGAGCGTTGCCCGGCCGGCAAGTACTTCGATGCGGAGACGGGTCTCTGCCGCTCCTGCGGCCACGGCTTCTATCAGCCCAACGAGGGCGCATTCAGCTGCGAGCTGTGCGGCCTAGGTCAGACCACACGCTCCACGGAGGCAACGTCCCGCAAGGAGTGCCGAGATGAGTGCAGCTCTGGCCAGCAGCTGGGCGCCGACGGTCGCTGTGAGCCCTGCCCACGTGGCACTTATCGTCTGCAGGGCGTGCAGCCCTCTTGCGCTGCCTGTCCCCTGGGTCGCACCACGCCCAAGGTGGGCGCCAGCTCTGTGGAGGAGTGCACTCTGCCCGTCTGCTCGCCCGGCACCTATCTCAATGCAACACTGAACATGTGCATCGAGTGCCGCAAGGGCTACTATCAATCCGAGTCTCAGCAAACCACCTGCATTCAGTGCCCGCCCAATCACAGCACCAAAATCACCGGAGCCACCTCCAAGAGCGAGTGTACCAATCCCTGCGAGCACATCGCCGAGGGCAAGCCCCATTGCGATGTCAACGCGTATTGCATTATGGAGCCGGAGACCTCAGACTTCAAGTGCGAGTGCAAGCCGGGCTTCAACGGTACTGGCATGGCCTGCACAGACGTGTGTGATGGCTACTGCGAGAACTCTGGCACTTGTGTCAAGGATCTGAAGGGCACGCCTTCCTGTCGCTGTATCGGCTCCTTCACCGGACCCCACTGCGCCGAGCGCTCAGAATTCGCCTACATAGCTGGAGGCATTGCCGGTGCTGTGATCTTCATCATAATCATTGTGCTGCTCATTTGGATGATTTGTGTGCGCTCCACGAAGCGCAGAGATCCAAAGAAGATGCTGGCGCCAGCAATCGATCAGACTGGCTCCCAGGTCAACTTCTACTATGGCGCCCACACGCCATACGCGGAGTCCATTGCGCCCTCGCATCACAGCACATATGCGCATTACTACGACGACGAGGAGGATGGCTGGGAGATGCCCAACTTTTACAACGAAACCTACATGAAAGACGGTAAGCGAAAGTATTACTTGATTTTCTTATATGAGAAATTGATTAACTTTGATGCTATTCTTCAAATAATATATATAAAAGGAAATATAAATAACTTAAATAACTATAAGTCGCTGATGCAGAAATAGGAGCTGATTATAATTTGAATGCAATTCTTGAAAGTGCTAAAGAGTACAAGAGTTTCGTATTACTTAACATTGATAATACTCAGCAGGAATTTTCTGTAAAACTCTTTCTAACTTCTCTCTCTCCGCCTCTTTCTCTTTTCTCTTCTCTAGGTCTACATGGTGGCAAAATGAGCACATTGGCACGATCCAATGCGTCGCTCTATGGAACTAAAGAAGACTTATACGATCGACTGAAACGTCACGCTTACACGGGCAAGAAAGGTACATTCATATATAGAACATATACTCTCTGTGGACCAAAGTAACTAAATCGTCTTTCTTCTTGCAGAAAAGAGTGACAGTGATAGCGAAGTGCAGTAAACCAACAACGAAATATATACAAAATAATATACAAAATGAAAATTATATCTTCTAAAAAAGAAAAAAAAAATATAGCTGCTTTAATGTAAATTGTGGTCATAGAAGTTCAGCACTGCAACGAGGCAAAGTTCTAGCACTGCCCCCAAGGAATATAAACATTAAATACTCATTGAGAGCGTTACTCAAAAGCTTTGCATTGAATCGCCGTAATCGCAGTCCACACTTTAGATATTTTTTTGTAGCCTTCGAAAATCCGCTGCAATTACGCGGCTTAATGCAAAGCTTATGATACAAGAAAACAAAAACAAAATAATAATAATATAACAATAAAGAATGAATAGAAAGCTGCTTTATGAAAAGAGAAATCTTAAGAAATAGTTAACTCCAACATGTGCTCTTTAAATATGAAAGAAGAATATAACTAAAAAACAGAAATTAAGTCGAACTTATGAGTAAATTTGTTTTAATTTTAAGTATTATTTACCTATACGAAACAACAAAAAATGAATACTTTATAAATACCTATTATTACCTTGCTTCAGAAAGGTATGAAAATTAAGAGCGTTAAATTGCAATACATTTTCCAAACTTGTTGAAAAATTCGCGAGTGCTGTAAAAAGCAAATCAAATATAGTCGTTATTTTGTAATTTAAATAAATAAAATTAATAATTATGAATACATACATATTTTGTAAAAATGCCTATGTTTATTTGAAAAGTAAAAAACTGTACGAATATATTTGGATTATTTTTCCTTTCGAAAGTATTTAACCCAGGAGGAATTATGGGTATTATGGGCGTTTGCATTATATGTATTGAGCAGCTCCCTACATCTAGTATCCTTATAACGATCGGAGCGACTCAGGAAGTCGACGGCATTATCCAGTTGCAAGTGAACTTGCATCTGTCTAGACATATATCGATTACAGAGCTTGGGCATATGATTGTTAAAGCCAATTATGGTGGCCAGAACTATTAGGGATACCGGCACTGTGAAGGCTCCAATCAACACCATCTCATGATCATAGTAATACTCCGAGCTAACGAGCTCCTTGCCTAACAGCAGGCTCCGGGCTATCATGACGACAACATGCTCCAATGTCTGCCAGAAGATCAGCATGCCCACCTCCATTATGAAGATCGCCACCAGACATTCGGCAATATATTTGAACACCATGGGCTTCTCGTCCATGCAAAGTGGCACAATGTGATTTGCGTAGATGATATCCAATAAGGCCACACAGGCAATAATTGTAGGCAGAGCGGGACCAGGGTTACTATGGGTCGTTAGTGGCGTTATATACAGAGAGTACTGGAGGAAGAGGTGCACTACGCCGGCAACAATAACGGCTTCAATTGAAGCCATGTCTATAAAGTAAATATTTAGTGGCAGGATATTCAAACTATGGCCTATTACTTACCTTATAATAAAATAACTACAAATTTACAGAAACTAATAAAATTTAAAAAAAAAACCCTATGCGTATATTTAGAACAATATAATAAATAACTATTATTTTTGTATTTCAGCTAAACTTAAGAACATTAAAGCAACGCCAATGTGATTACATAAATATATTTCAAAGTCCTTTTTTGTATTTATTTGTTATTTAAATTAATTAGATTAATCTACAAATCTACAAATATTGTGAAGAGAATTTTAAAAGGTAGCGAACAAAACAGTATGAGACTGGGTTAATTGGAGTGGGTTGAGTAAATATTATATTATATATAATTAATATAGAGTATCACTGGAAAAAAATGGTTATTTGACAGCCAGACATACGGCGAGGTCATCAAGGTGAAAAAATTCAGTGAATAGTCAAATACTATCGCGAGAGATTGGACTCTTCAACTGCAGCACTAAGTGCTGCTAGCCCCCGCACTACTTATGTGAGGTCTTAGACAAAGTATCCTGAAAATGTCCCTTCCCTAATGAAAAATTATTATAGCTTTAATTTAGTTTATGTTATCTGTTTTTTGTTTTTCTATTGTTTATTATGGGACTGCTCAACTGCAGCAAATATGACCAGAGACAGTGGTAGAGTGAAGGCGCCGATTATCACGTTCTGCTGTTTGTAATATGTTGGTTTCGGGATCACTTTCATGGACAGTAGCGCTCCCTTGACAACTAGGAAAATTGTATGCTCGATCGATTCCCAAAGCAGCATGCCCAGCTCGAGTAGGAAGATGACCGTCAAACATTCAAAAGCATATTTAAACGTCGTTGACATATCATCGAAGCGTTGCGGTATTATACGAGAATGATAGATGAGATCCATTAGCGCCAAGCAGACGATGAACGTGGGCGTTGCTGGGCCTGGCGTCTTTAGCACGGTTTGGGGTGTTACATATAGAGCAAATCGAATTACTAAATGCACAAAACCGGCTACCACAACGGATTCAATGGCGGCCATTTCTGACTCTGATTTTAAACAAAAAACAAAATAACAAACAATTTAA